CCAAAACCCAAACTGAAAACGCAACGAANCCCCCCAACTTGCACATCTTACAAACTAAGATACTTGCCACAATCCTTGGGTCACTAAACATCACTTCCCACACTCTACTCACACATAAACAACATGATTAACTCAAGAGCATTGGACTTATGTTACAAAGTAACACATTTTGTCAGTGGTCACCCAGGTCACCGCAACTGGCTCCTGTAGTTCAACTTTTTATACAAAACGAAGAATTCACTCGCGTAATCGTTTACTAGCCTGATGTAAACGATTACCGTAGTGTTTTTTCAGCACCAGATCTCAGCACTTCCCTCAACCTACACATCTCACAAACTAAGATACTTGCCACCATCTTGGGGTCACCAAACATAATTTCCCACCCTCTACTCACACTTAAACAGCAGAATCAAGTCAAGAGCACTTGACTTATGTTAGAAAGTAACACATTTTTTCAATGGTCACCCAGGACACCACAACTGGCTCCTGCCGTGCAACTTTTTGTACAAAACATAGAATTCACTCGCGTAATCGATTACCAGGCCCCTGTAAACGATTACCACAGTGTTTTTTCAGGACCAGATCTCAACACTTCCCCCAACTTGTTCATCTCAATAACTAAGATCCCTTTCACCATCTTGGGGTCATCAAACATCATTTCCCACCCATTACTCACACTTAAATAGTATGATCAACTCAAAAGCACTTGACTTATGTTACAAAGTAACACATTTTGTCAGTGGTCACCTAGGTCACCACAGTTGGCTCCTACAGTGCAACTTTCTATACAAAAAACAAAATTCACTCGCATAATCGTTTTCCAGCCCACTGTAAATGATTACCACAGTGTTTTTTCAGAACTATATCTCAGCACTTCCCCCAACCTGCTCATCTCACAAACTAAGATACCTTCCACTATCTTGGGGTCACCAAAGATCACTTCCCACCATCTACTCACACTTAAACAGCAGAATCAAGTCTAGAGCACTAGACTTATGTGAAAAAGTAACACACTTTGTTAGTGGGTACCCAGGTCACAACTGTTGGCTCCTACAGTGCAACTTTTTGTGCAAAACGCATAATTCACTCGCGTAATCGTTTAGCAGGCCACTGTAAACAATTATCATAGTGTTTTTTCAGGACCAGATCTCAGCACGTCCCCCAACTTGCACATCTCACAAAGCAAGATACCTTCGACCATCTTGGGGTCACCAAACATCACTTCCCACCCTCTACTCACACTTAAACAGCAGAATCAAGTCAAGAGCACTAGAGTTATGTGAGAAAGTAACATATTTTGTCAGTGGTCACCTAGGTCACCACAATTGGCTCCTATAGTGCAACTTTTTGTACAAAACACAGAATTCACTTGCGTAATCGTTTACCAGGCCCTGTAAACGATTACCACAATGTTTTTTCTAGACCAGAACTCAACACTTCCCCCAACTTGCTCATCTCACAAACTAGGATCCCTTCCACCATCTTGGGGTCACCAAACATCACTTTCCACCTCTACTCACACTTAAATAGCATGATCAACTCAAGAGCACTGGACTTATGTTACAAAGTAACACATTTTGTCAATGGTCACCCAGGTCACCATAGTTAGCTCCTGCAGTGCAACTTTCTGTACAAAATGCATAATTCACTCGCGTAATCGTGTACCAGGCCACTTTAAACGATTACCACAGTGTTTTTTCAGGACCAGATCTCGGCACTTCCCCCAACTTGTACATCTCATAAACTAAGATACTTGCCACCATCTTGGGGTCACCAAACATCACTTCCCACCTTCTACTCACACTTAAACAGCAGAATCAAGTGAAGAGCACTGGACTTATGTGAGAAAGTAACACATTTTGTCAATGGTCACCCAGGACACCACAGTTGGCTCTTGCAGTGCAACTTTCTGTACAAAACACAGAATTCACTCGCGTAATTGTTTACCAGGCCCATGTAAACGATTACCACAGTGTTTTTTGAAGCTCAACTGTCAGGAACTTCGGCTAAGTTCTACATCTCACAAACAAAGTTTCATTCATCCATCACAAACATCATTCCTACTCAATCAAATTGGCCAATTTATTGATTAGCATTCCAAACAAAACCTTATTTCACAATGACAACAATGAACGCAGTAACATTTCAATTCAAAATAACAATATGTAATGTAAGCAAATATGCATATTTTATATCATTCAATCAAATAGGTTACATTACACTCAATTGTTCATCTATGTACAATGTTGTTTGACTTTCTCTTAACATATGAATACAAATATGACTCATTTTTTATTCTAAGCACTATAGTTCCAGTGTATGGCGTTCTAAGTGCTCTGCCCTTGTAACGCCTTCGTGATCCAACCGTCACATATGTCTTCAAAGGAGGTTGATTTGTGTCAATGCCACTAGGGGAAACAAACCCACTATTCATGGATGGTTCTGTACGAGGCGCACTCTGTCCACCGTGATCTTTATTTCTTCTTCTAGCCTTCTCTTCAGCCAACTGTGCCTCCAAACCATCAACCCTCCTTTTAAGTTCTTCAATTAGAAATTCTCGATCGTCTAAGGCACGCATCAAACTTTCTCTTCGTTTTCTTTTTTGTATCTTTTTTGGTGTTGGTTTGTCATCCTTTTTTTTTGGTGTTGGTTGGTAATCCTTCTCATCCTTCTTATCATCAAACTTTCTCTTTGTTTTCTTTTTTGTATCTTTTTTGGTGTTGGTTTGTGATCCTTTTTTTTGTGTTGGTCAGTAATCCTTCTTATCCTTGCTTGAAGCACCAACATAAACATCATCATGAACCTGAAATTTAACCATATATATCATAGTATAAAAGTTTTGTCAATATATCATAACATCAAAAACTCAAACAACAAACCACGTACCACACCCGTCTCCATAACTCGTTTTACGAAGTTGTCTCCCATATTTCTATTCATCCAATGCAATATTCTTGGAAATTTTTCTATTGGACCTTCGGGAGGAATGAAATGCTCACAAAACCATACCTAAAAACATAGTTCATCTTAACATTTAGCAAAAAAACAATATGCAACCTACAACAAAAAAAAACATTTTAAATCAATAAATAATAATTACCTACAGCATGTAAACACAACCATCAACGTAAACGTTCCTTATACCTTTGCCTTTCTTCAAAGCTTCTGAAGTTTTGCACAAACTACGTAACAAAAAACGATAAACTAGACTACCTCAACAATAATTACCCAAACCACTTAAATTGTCAACAATTTTAAACATTATGGGAAACACTCTTCCGCTACGTTTTGGAAATAAGATCTCACATATCCCTACCAATATGTAAAGGCTACAAAAATGAGAACAAGGTATCATTTCTTGTGTTTTCTCATTAAAAGTTTGTATATCAAATTCAAATCTCGTGTTCCTTTACCTATGTATTTCACACATGTACTACTTCCCATTTCGTTCTTTAAGTTAATATTTTCACCATCTGAACTCAACCCCAATCCTAAACAAAAATCCTTTTCATAGATATTCACAACTTTATTTGTAATTAAAAAACCACTACTAGAATCCACCCATTTAACCAATAACTCACTCAATATATATTCCTACATACTTTAACATTAACACCCAAATCTAAAAACCACCCAAATGGAGTCTTCGCAATTAGTGACCACTGCTCGTCTGTCAAACGTTCGTTCAAAGTACATATATACTTTGTTGAAAAAGAGTGACGAACGGTCAACTGTATCAACCAAAACAGAATAAGCAAAACTCGAAAACCCAAAAACCATAACAACACAAACCCAAACCCACACCCACACCCAAAACCCAAACTGAAAACGCAACGAAGGAAATGGTAGGAGAAAGCATTTACCTTGCTCAACAGACCATGCTCATGAGACGTTGCCATTTTGCACAACAACCTCAACGAAGAAGACGACCTTCACGAAAATGGAGGGAGACAAAGAGAGAACCAAGAGTGACAACGACAAATGAAGAGAGACAACCACGAGAATAAGACAAAACGTTGATTCCGAATGAAGCAGGGTCAGGGGTATATTTGGAATCTCAACTTTAAGAAACCCTACTCAATTTCAACCACACTTTTAAAAAAAAATTAAATTCAAAATGGACCAATGGAATCGAGACACGTGGCATTGTCAAAATAGTGTTAAAAAATCATTGTTAAAATAGTGGAGTCCTTTATTGTAATGCTCCATTTTAGAGTGTCACGAATCATATTTAGAGTAAGATATTTTAAAATCCTTTTAATGCGGAAAATTGTGCCAATTAAAAATTTCGACATTTGAATCTTGCGGAATTTAAATAAAGTTCTAACTTCACCAAAAATATAATCCAATTACAAAATCCAAAAAATTAATCAAATAAACCAAGAAATAAAATTAATCCATTTATATTATTTTTTAAATTTTATAACTCAAAACTTCAAATAAACCCAAAGCTGCTCTCCACTTTCGCATCTTTATCAAGCATCCGAAGCATCTACTACATCCTCTGCTCTCGTATAATCAAGGGTCATACAATCATCGCAAAACACACGTTCAACCACAAGTATGAAATGAAATGAAAAAAAAAATATATAAGTGTAAACTAATCAATACAGAAATAAAGCCTAATTACTATAACTTCCTACAACTTAAATAGAACAATATGATACAATCTTAATGCAAAGTAATTATTTAAAATTATTTAAAATGTCAATAAAATATTTGTCAAACAATTAAGCAAGATTAAGGGTAGAATTAGAAAAAAGAGGAGTGTTGTAAGTTAGTAATTTTTTTATATTTAAAATGAAATGGCAGGAAGAATACATTATTTTTAACCTACATTTTTCTTATTAATCAAAGTTTGCTTAAAATTGCAAAATGAGATTTCACACAGTATTAGACAATACTGAAGGAATGAAAAACGCAGAGGTAAAGCGTCGATATGTCCGCGTGATTAAGGAGGCAGACTTGAAATCTGTTGGGTTTCGCCCGCGCAGGTTCGAATCCTGCTGTCAACGTTTTCATCTTCTGGTTTATATTTTTTCGCCATTGTTTATATCTTTGAATCTATAAGAAGTTAGGGTTTTAGGATTTCTAAATCTAGTGGTTTTGGTGCTGAATTAGTGTGGGGGGTTAGAATGGAAGAACAATTGGGGAACGGCATGGTGTTGAGGTCGAAAACGACGCAGGAGTTGGCGATGGAAGGGCAGAAGTACTTGGAAGAAACCATAGAGTTCGCTTTCCAGATCCTCTCTTCCATGAACGACGAGCTCTGCAACCCTGTTCTGTGGTCCACCTCTCCCTCCGCCACTTCTACCTCCCCCAATGCCCCCTCCGCCACCACTGACTCCGCTTCAGACAACTCAAATCTTCACTCTGACGGCGCCACAGCCTCTGCCGGCGCTGGAGGCGCCCTCGAAGAGGCTCGCTTGCGGTACAAGAACGCTGTCGCCACGCTTCGGACAATTCTCACTGCCATTCCTAACTCCCAGAAGGTACACGATTTCGCTCGTTGACTTTCTCTTGAATCTCCATACCGTGTTTGCTTTGTTGTGAAATGCATTTTAACAATCAATTCTGTTGATTCGTGGATCTTGTGAACTTTTTTGAGAGGTTATTATGTTCCGAAGGTAAATGCAATAAACTGTATTGAGCTGAGAGGGTGGGAGAGGTACTAGTCGATGCTGCCTTGTGGTTGTACGCATGAATGTGGTGTTAAATTGTTAATGTAAAAGGATAAGATGTTGGGTTGAATTGGATTGAATTGGATTAGACATAGCAGTAGTTCGACTCTCCCTGGATTGAGATCTGAAAAGATTTCAAAAATATAGTAAATGCTATTTGAATTTTTTTATACAGTTTAAATTTTCGATGATGGAGAGTTGTTAAATAATCGTTACTCATAATTGACAATAAAAAAATTTTAACCGTGTAAAAAAATTCAAATAATATTTTAAGATCGACTGCTATGCGATACTATATTTTTGAAATCTTTTCAGATCTCAATCCAGGGAGAGTTGAACTACTGCTATGTCTAAAACAAAACATACAAGTAAATATCAACAAAAGACATAGGTAACATGTCTAGCCAGAAAGAGGGAGTATGTCTCCTCATATCCAGAGACAGGGAGAATGTAGGTCTTCTCGCTAGAGAGGAGGGATGTAGATAAATGCAGGTCTCGCTCCTTTTTGTTGTGTTCCCCCAAAATCCTGAAATGCCCGCTTCCCATCCAAAAAAACAAGCCTAACAGCTAAGCAAGAAGGGGTTTTGACATCACAGCATTGCAGTGGTATCCTGCTGCAATCCTCAAGTGATCGTGACCAGTGTGCGGCCCCTGATTCCACTGTGTCACAACAGCATTATTATGTCACTGTCATGCACTATTGAAAGTCCTACTCTTGATATTTAGGATGTATTGTGGTTGTCAATTTTTAACGTGCATATTCATTTGATACATTATAGAAACTAAGATCTTTCAGCTTAAAGTTGGTGCCATGCCATCACTTTATTGTAATTCCAACATTCATGGGTGCCAAATTGTGATGGTCCCAGGGGTTTAAACTGAAATGTGATGTTTAGTTACAGAGTTCCGAAATCTGAAAGACCATAGTTTCACTAAACATGCAGTGTCCTTCAATGTTTAGTGGCTAAAATGTTAGGAACTCCTGTCAACTATAGGTCAGTTGCAGAAATGTCATTCAGTGTGTTTTGGGGCTATCACATGTTCCAATGTACAATCAACGTGAATGCATGCCTAACTGTGAATTCACGTTCAGTGTGCTTTGGAAGCAATGCAAGCAACCTATTGTTATTCTGAAGTCAGCAACTCAACTACTTGACTTACCAAATCACGTTTATTGGCTACATGGGGGGCATTTCTGCAGGATTCATGTCAATTTGTAAGTTTAGGGGATCAAGTTGCTGATTGTTGAATCATGCAAGTTTAACTCATGGTGGTCAGTGTTAAAAAAAGCAACCATGGAAAAAGGGGTGACAGATTTTATTTTTCTGCCCACCACTGCATGGTAGTGGCGAATTGGGTTTTCCATGATGGCTAGTGACAGCTATGGAAGTTGTAGAATGGCCTCATGGAACGACCATGGTTGGTGTTGCTAGGTTCAGGTGTACCCAATCCAAAATTAACAAACCTAAGATACCAGCCACAACCGAAAATACAGATCTGTTCTGTTTAAGCAACCGTAGATGTTGTGGTCAGCCTCAAGTGACACTGCTGCTGCCACTTCCTTTGGTTTATTCTGTTGCTGCCTGCAGTGTATTCCAGAGCTTTAGACGTATTCCGCTGCCAGTATTCCACTGCAGTGCTGTTGTTGTCCCAGTACAGTGTCGCCCTCCCCCCTTTTTCCTTTTCTTGATTTCCTCTTTGGTTCTATAGCACCGCTCTCTCCCCCTTCTTTTTCTTCTTTCTACTCAAGGCCTATGCCTTGTCGTTTCTGGTGTTTTGCATTGATTTTAATGTTATTCGAATTTCTAAACTTGTTATTATTATTACTATTATTCACTGTATTGTATCATTAACTGTATGACTGTCTTTCATTATTTTTACATTGCAATTATATTTCTGCATTTATCTATCTGGATATATTGTATGTTTTTTTGTCCACAATGCTTCTTCATACTTTTGTAAAGGATTTTGCGGGTTGTCAATACCGATAACATTGATTGTGCTTCAATAATATAATGAAAAGTATGAAACTGTGTACGCTCTTGTTAATGTTCCAGAGCTGACTCCAATTTTAAGTGGCTTATTGACTTTTGGCCATCTACTTCTCTACGTTTTATTGCCTAAACACCCCAGGAATGATAATTAATTAGTTATTACTTTGCTAAACCAGAGTTTTAGCTGATGGATTGTGAATTCAATCTTAATTTCATGGATATCTTTTAGAGAAGGTAAAATGATGATTCAAACTCTATTCTAAGGTTCAATTTGATGTCGTTTTAAAAACGGGGGTGAAAAAAAAAAACAGGGTTAAGCTTAATATGATTATAAAAAATTCAGTAACAACTCATCTTTAAAATATTAGTTTTAAAAGAATATTAAACCGACTGGTACAAATTACTTTGTATAAATTCATTATTTGCTAAACATAACTCTGCAATGTTGCGGTACCATCAACTGGAATTTGAAGATATTGATGGTTGGAGTTAAAGGATTACTCACAAACGATATTGGTAGACAAACTCTCCTTAATGTAGATATAGAAGACATAGTGTAAATTGACACAAGAGATATTGGTAGATACACTCGCATGTTATTTTTCATTCATACATGTCACTTATTTGCTTAAATATTTATGTATGTATTCTTTTTGTGAGCTTTACTACTAAATTTTGTCAAGTGAAGCTTTTGTTTTCTTGTTAAACTAACGTGGTTTGTATTGCAGTCAAAATCATTTGATACCGGTTCAGCTGCTAGCCCTGCAGATGAAGCTGAAATTGACAAGTTGGAGGAGCGAGCCTCATCTCTAAGAAGGGTAGGTTTGAACCAGGTTTTTAATAAATGTATTAATCTTTATCTCTATGCTTTGACGCTGTTCTTTACAACGGCTGAGCTTTGAAATTGTCGTTTTGTGAACAGATTTTAGTTTGTTGGAATTCAGAAGCATTTACTTTTCAGTCATATTATGTTAAGATTTAACTGAATCTAGTGTCTTCCTTATTATGTGTTTTGTAATTTTGGCCTATTTTTTAAGCAATTTATGACCCATTGGTATTAGCTTTGAAAAGATAATTATGATACAACACCACCATTTTGGAGATTATTTTTTTATATATATTGCTATTATTTTTAGCTTCTTAACACTAATATAGACTTTCTAGGTTTTCTTCGTTTTTAAATTACATTTTTTTATTAATCTTTTAAATTTATTTAATTAGCACAATACTTTTTCATTAGAGAAAAAAAAAGACACCAACGGATCTCTAATTTTGCAACCATATTTAGCATCTGAAGTGGTTGATAGATTGTCTTTTTTTCTTTTTTAATTGCTTCAGTGGTAAACATTGAACATCTTTTCATAAATGTAGGAGCTTGCCAACAAGAACTTGCTCTTGAAGACACTAATAGATCAACTGCGTGATCTTATCACTGATATATCAACATGGCAAAGTCCTTTATCAACCTAAAGTATGAGACGAATACTTAAATTTGTGGAGCGGTCACGAATATGGAAACCTGATTCTGAGTAAATGACAATAAGGCTTGAACTTTTCCATATGAAGGTGTATAAGTTGATCTCAATATGTTCTCATCCTATGGGTTTAGAAAATTCTTAATGATGATAGTTTGCATTTTGTAGATTTTTTCCTTATAAATTTTGTAAAAGAAATTGTACTTTCTTTTGAACCTTAGAGAAGGATTCCTGTATTTTGTCTGAGATGAAACTTTTGTTTCACCATTTTTTTCAATTTATAACTCGTAAATACACTGCATGTTTCAAATCTGTTTATTTGGTTGAGGAATACATATAAATGGAATGGGAAGGTGGTGGTGTTCTTGGCGCATGTTTGGTCTTACAAATTACATCTCCGGTTCACATGCAATTATAACGAACCAGCAACTAAATATTATGTGTGGTTATGCACAAGTATTGTATGCAAAAGGATAGGGTTGTTTATACGCGTTCAGCTTTTCAATCGTGCATCCAAACATATGGATGGGTCTACCACTTAATTTAGAAGTTAATGATTGAATGATAAGGAAATTAATCGGTATCTTAGTTGAAGATATTTTTAAAGTTTGCCTGACAATTCAAAGGAGAAATAGTATCAATTTAAAAATGAAAAAAGAGAGTCCAATTGTCCAGAACCGACGAATTGCAAAAGGTATATATTCCTCACCACTTTTTACGGGAAGAATGACTTACAGATATAATTAAGTGTCACGATCTCACATACTATTTGGTATTCTACTTTGTAATAGAAATATATATATTAATAAACTTTGTCAAAGCATTAGCATCTCATGGTACGGTAAATCTCATTATATATGTCCTGCAGGGTATGTTCTGGTGTCCTTTTTTCATGAAATTCGGCATGTTGCAGAAATTCTTCGTCCAGAATATGTGCCAGCTTTCACAATTAAAGCAGACTAATCCCCCTGGTAAGATGTTCTTACCACAGCATTTCCACTCCAAGAGGGGTAGTGATGGTGGGTAAACAAAAACTGTTATTTATGATTTTCGAATATATCAAACGAGATTAGTATATCCAACTCTAGCCACTTGCATATCGACCATAGTTGGGATATTGGCTTAAGTTGTGTGTAACTGCAGAAGGAACATAACTCTCCTCCCTGTTGAAAACAACACAAGCGCCAAAACCCATTTTAAAAAATACTCCATATCAAATAAGTTTAAAAAATTTAACTTCATTAGTTGCATCTCTAACATCACATTGAAACTAAATCTCAGTTGGTGAAAGAGACAGTACTTTTCGTTTGTCTATCCTTCCCGAGTCTCTCTTCAAGAAATTCACATTATACTGGCAAATCTGAACAAACTAATGGAGCTTCATTTATATTATTATGAGTTGGTACTTTGTACAACATTGGAGTTTTCTATTTCGAAATTACTCACTTGCCAACCCATCATTTTCTTGATTTTTTTTCTTAAATTTCCTTAAATTCTATCAGGCAGAGACTTTATCACCTAGAGAGACTTCCGTCCTTTCACAACCAACTGATACTCATAGCATTCCACTTTCACTCTTCTATAGCATTCCACTTTCACAACAGCAAAAATCTAGCACAAGAATGATCAGATTACCTAAAACTATCTTCGATACAGTGGTAGCCACAACTTTATTTTCTCTTTGTTGTTTTGCTTGTATTAATTATGAACTGAAGACCTAGTAGTGAGAGAGGATCTCATATCCACAATGGCAGATTCATCAGCCCCTAACTTGATGGCCTCTTTGCTAGCTCTTATGAACCTTGAGACAGCTCCTCGAACGTACTCATGAGCTTCTTTCACACTCATCTTCTTGCTCATTTCATCAGGGAAACTGCTCAAGAAATGATCCCCATTAAGAACTGCTGCCAATTGAACTACCTCACTCTGAAATTCAGACAGGCCTGCATCTTCTTTTGCTTCAGTGCTCCTTAGAGGGTTCACGTCCGGCAAAGTCACTGAAATACACACACCCAGCCTTAATACTTTGTTACACATAATATAAGGTTTTGAGTTTAATTTCTGTGCAGGGCAGTCTAACAAAAATTACACTGTCAACCAATCAGAAATCATGATAAGCATAAACTTTTAAGGTAGCTATTATTAAAGTTAATAAACTGATTATACATCACAGTTTATGATTAAATGATAATATAAATATTCTTATTCAGAAAGTTTTAGTCAAAGTTGATGAAGTCTCCCCTCTTTTGTATAAGCCATCTATGTTCAACTTTATCACGTTGTAATCCATATGGTAATGTATTATTGAGGAACGCAATTGATTGACATAAAAAGGGTAGGTTGGATACCTGGGCAATCCGTTCTGGGTGAACTTAACTCTCCAACAACATGCTCGAATGTCCCAGCCCAAGCATCCCTGTGGGTCAAAAAGTTGGAGGAAAGGTTGAAGATCTTCTTTATGGTTGCAGGAATAGAAGAGTGCTCAAATTCTGAGTTTTCAGCAGGTCCTTTGGCACCACTTATCACTGAGAAATTTGGACCAAGTAGTAAATTAAAATTAGTAGGCACGTCAGAACAATCAAAAGCAAGTTGAAGCTTTAGAATCTAACAAATGCACTCAAGAAGATTTGGTAAACAAAGCAATTGGAACCTTATTGCTCAAAACCAAATTTTGTTGTTTGTACCAAATTTGACTAGAAAACAACAATCCTTTAGTCCTTATTCTCTCAAAACACAAGGAAAAGGACAAACATAGAAAAGAAATATCAACCAACTGCATCGAACTCAAACTAAAGTAACTACACCGGAATACTGGTAATCAGAAAGAACATGGTCCCAGAAAAGTTAATGTGGCATCCAATGGAATAAATTCATGTCATATTCCCCATGATAAAAGAAGTATTGGCCATGATTTCCTCACATCTCTATCATAGAAAAATATGAATAATTGCTTTGACAAAAGAGTAGACGCTAAAAAAGGATAATTAACTAGGAATTTGAGATTACCAGTTCCTTTCTTGATCCAAGGAGAGATCATAATAGTAGGAACCCGAACCCCTAACCTATCGAACTTGAAGAAATAGGGAGCAGGTCCGGTGTTCCCATCTGGATTAGGAATGTTGACAAAAGGGGTCTTCACATGATCAAAAAATCCACCATGTTCATCATATGTAATGATGAAAAGTGTTTCATTCCACTGAGGGCTGGTTCTTAGAGCCTCGTAAACATCCTTAATCAGCATTTGGCCATGTGCAACATCGTGAGATGGGTGGTCATCATTAGCGGGTAAGCCCTTCAAGTCAAAGTATCTAGGCTCAATCACAGTCAAGGGTGGAAGTTTCCCATTTCGGGCATCTCTCTTGAACTTCAAATCATACTGATGGAACTTGAATACGTACTTTAATTTCCTCAGATTCCTATAGAACAAAGTTGTGGGTATGTTCTGAAAGTAAATCCCAAAGTCCAGGCCATTCTCATGCAGAGAATCAAAGATGGTTTTTTGAGGGTACCCTTTCGCTAACTGCCTCTTGACATGACTTGTGGAACCATGAGAGGTTGCTGAGTACACAAAAAGCCTATTGGGTTGTGTTGGACCAGGAATTGAAGAAAACCACCTATCAAAAACAGCAAATTCCTTAACCAAAGCAGCATAAACCGGCACAGCCTCGGGCTTAAACCCTTTCATTACAGTCTCAGAGAGGTTCTGAGACACGGACAATGCTTGCTCCACAAATCCATTCATGGAAGGGATCGAACCAGACCCGAATACCTGCTGCAACACATCTTCAAATGAATGCCCAGGATCCGGATCCACAAACTCTGCATCATCAGTGAAGCAAATCGAATCTTGCTTCGAACCTGTAGTAGAAACAGGGTTGCATTCATCTCCCGTGACCCCATTGATTAAGGCATTGATTCTCTCTTTCATCCACCCCAGCATGTGGTCAAAGGAACGGTTCTCCATAACCAAAACAACAACGTTTTTTATAGGTTGCTGTTGTTGCGCCCTTGCAAAAACACAGAAGAACACAAATAGAAAGAGCACTAGAATGAAAGATCTGGATTTACCACCTCCCATTCTTTCCCTCAAAGATGGGACCTTTTTTCAAATGGGTTGTCGGTACAAAAAAAAAAAAGGCTTTTCCAACACTGAATGCGGAATAAGTGAATGGTGATATAAACGTGAATATGGAATGAGACTTTTATCACTGAATGTGGAAACAGCGCAGAACGGCAATTAGATACTTTGTGCAATTTATAGAGAAGAATTTTAAATACAGTGTTGGAGGATTTTGTATGTGTAGATAGTGTGGTAGCAGAACACAGAAGAAGGAAGATAAGGTTGTTGTTGAGGTTGAGGTTGAGGTTTGGTTAGGTTCTGTGCTATACCTCACTCACTTACTGCTTCACTCATTCAGCTTTTATGAACAATGCAGAAGGAAAAGTAACGCAATTAGTGGAACATGAATTGAAAGTGTCCTTTTGTGATTATTCTGCGTAGATGATGAGGATCTTACCCTCTCCTTTTTCGCGGGTCAGTTTATTTTTCTATTTTCAGTATCAGTTTTCAGTTTTTTGGGTTTCTTCTACTTTCGGCACTAATAAATTAATTTAAGTGATTTTTTTTCCCCATAAGTCCCAATAATACCTAATGCAAATCAAAGTGTGTTTAAAAAGTAAAATAAAATAGAATAGGAACTCAGTTACAATGTTCGGATTATATAAATGTTCTTTACACTGTACTATCAAATCATAGAATATATTTAATTAACTAATAGATTAAATATAAGTTGTTTATTTATTTATTAATTATTGCATTTAATAATTTAACCACATGTTCTATATAATAAATAAATTACTTAATATTAATTGACAGTCAACTTTACCTATATATGTTAAATGTGATATTTTTAACACTATATTTCTTAAATGTAATGTATGTTTCAATATATTAATAAATGTACAATTTTTTAACACAATATATTTATTAATTTTTATATTTTATAATTTAAATACATATTATATTTAATAAATACATTACTTAATGTTATTTGACAGTCAATTTTACCTGAATATGTTAAATGTGATATTTTTGAACAAATATATTTATTAAATGTAATGTATGTTTCAATATATTAATAAATGTACAATTTTTTAACACAATATATTTATTAATTTTTATATTTAATAATTTAACTACATATTATATTTAATAAATACATTACTTAATGTTATTTGACATTCAATTTTACCTGAATATGTTA